GGTATTTTTTGTGAACAAGATATGAATGGATGGCTTTCTTACTTGCTGCTACTCGTCAAGGAATTGTTATAGTTACTGTTTATGCTACATTAGGAGATGATTCAGTTAAAATTGCATTAGAAGAAACTGATATTAAAGCAATTGTTGTATCAGAAGATACAGTAAAAAGATTACCAAAAATTCATCTTAAAGAATCAATTAAAGTAATTAATGTTGATGGAGAAGAAAATGATGAATTAAGTTTTAAACATTTATTACTATCTGAAGAATCAACAGAATATCCAGAAGTACATGCAGATGATCTTGCAATTATTATGTATACATCAGGTACTTCTGCAAGTCCTAAAGGAGTTTTAGTAAATCAAAAACAAATATTAATGTTATCATGTGGATATAAATATGTATTAGAATTTAATAGAGAACGATTTATTGCTTATTTACCATTAGCACATATATTTGAAATTGGAATTGAATTTGCATTGTTAATGGATTTTGGTACTATTGGATATGCTGGAATTAGAACATTAACTTCTGGAGGATGTTTTAATTGTAACTCAGATTTAGTTGAGTTTAGTCCAGAAGCTATGATTGGAGTTCCAACTGTCTTTAATAGAGTTCGTAAAGGAATATTAGAAACTGTTGAAAAACAACCTAAATTTAAGAAAGTATTATTTGGAGCTGGTTATTGGATTAAAAGAAAGTGTTATGTTGATTATGATTTAAGAACACCATTTCTTTTTATGCCATTAGTTAAATTAGTTGATGCTATGATTTTTAAACCATTATGTCGTTCTCTTCTTGGTACTAATATAAAAGCAATTGTTATTGGTGGTTCTGCTCTTCCTGCTGAGTTACAATACTTCCTTCAAGCAATTTTACCTGATGTTTCTGTTATGCAAGGATTTGGTATGACTGAACTTTGTGGTGCTGCATGTGCAATGCCACATAGAGATCCAACAACTGCATCAATTGGTGTTGTTCTTCCGATGTATGAAGTTAAATTAAGAGATGTTCCAGAACTTGGACATATGACTTCAGATCATCCTCCTCATGGTGAATTATTGTTTAGAGGACTTCCTGTAACAAAAGGGTATTTCAATAGACCAGAAGAAAATAAAGAAGCATTTACCGAAGATGGATGGTTCTGTACAGGTGATATTGCAAAGATAACTGATGATTTACATATTTGTATTATTGATAGAAAGAAAAATATTGTTAAACAACCATGTGGAGAATATATTTCATTAGAACTGATTGAATCAAAATATAGTAGTAATAAGTTAGTTGAAAACATTTGTGTTTTTGCAGATTCTTTTCATGATTTTGTTGTTGCTTTAATTGTTCCAAATAAAGCTGTTATTGCTGAGTTAAGTGGAAATAAACCATTTGAAGAAGCTATTGAAGACAAAGAAGTATTAAATAAAGCAAAATTATTATTAAAAGAAAATGAAGAAGGACTAACTGAAAGACAAAAAGTTAAACACTTTTCTTTTGTTAAAGAAGAATGGACTGCAGAAAATGAATTATTGACTGCTGCATTAAAATTAAAACGTCCTGCTATTTCAAAGAAATATCTAACTACCATTCAAACTATGTTTTCTTTGAATTGATTTATCAAAACTTCTAAAAGGGAGAAAACTTAACCTTTAAATTAACTTTTTTATTTTATGTTTATTTGTTAATATTTTAAACCAACACAAGTAGATGATTGAGTACATTGTAACATTTCTTCTTTAGAAGTTGCTGTTATAGCACATTTAATTTGGATTTCATTAAGATCATATAATCCAACAGTTCTCCATCGATACATTGACCCTTTCATGACATCATTAAAGATTAATGATTTTACTTGTTGTAATGATGAAATAGAAATATCTTTTACTTGGTATTCCGTAATGAAAGAATAAGGTTTAAACCATACTGGGAATTTTTGAATATTTGATTCATTAAGATTCATAGTATATTGAGTTGAATCAATATACCCTTCTGCTCTATTTGGTGTTGTTAAAAATATTTTATATCCAGGATTATTAGTATAAACAGGACTAATTCCAATAGCAACTAACATAACAACTGGATCTTCTGATGGAAGTAATCTAAATTCATCACGGTGAATATGTCCAAGTAAGAATGAATTTATAGTTGATTTGTACTTCTTAATAATTGTAAATAATCTATTTTGATATTCTTCTTTTAGTTGTGCTTTGAGGTCATAAGAAGATACTCCTGGTGGAATATGACCAACAATAATTGGATGAAGTGATGAAGTTTTAGCAATAGAAAGTTGCTTTTCTAACCAATCCAAAACACCACAGTCATTATGTTGGAATGGATTTAATAAATTAGTGTTAATAACAATATATAATTGTCCATCAACAGTTTGGCTATAACATGCATTACGAAGGTATTGTTCTTTTTGATTTCTTGGAATATAATCAACAAATTTATTATATAAAAATTCATAATACTGATCAGAGCATGTAATATTTTTGGGGGTTGGTGTGTCATTATTTCCCATTGCAAAAATAATTGGAGTATCACCATAATATTGTTTCAATTTCTTAACTAATATCTCATTGCATTGGCGATAAAGTGAATCAGTTAATTCATGAGAACAAATATCTCCTGATAATACTATTGCTGAATATTTTGCTTGTTTTGATGAATGTTCAAAAACAGCATCAATAAGATCAATAGGGGGATTACAATTAATAATGCCATACCTATGATCTAAATCAGTTTTAGGAGTTAAGTCATTTGATTGACACCACTGATTTGGATAATCAATATTAAATGCATTATTATAATGGATATCTGATATTTGTAATATTTTAATTTCTGATGAAAAACAATACCCAATTAAAATACAAAAAATAAAAATATTAACTTTAGAAGTATTATGCATAAGCCAAATATATATATAGTTATTTAATTTAAGTTCTCTTTGATTTCTGTTTAAAATTAAATTATTATTTCTTAATGAAAAAATTTTTCAATAACAAAAATATTAACAAGTTTTAATAATTAATATAAAATTCCCTTTTTTCTTCTTAAGAATTAATTTTTTTTCACTTTATGTTAATTATCATTGAACTTTTCACTTGAAGGAATATTATAAATATCGTTAATTCCAATACTTGTGAAGTATTTAGTCAATTCAGTTACTATTTGAGATGAAATAAATCGTTCTTTAGGTTCTTGTTTCCAACACATGTCAATGATGTGTTTAAGATTTGGTTCATACGAAGAAATGTCTGGGCGTTTTCCTTCTACTACAGCACTAGCAATAGTCCATGGGAATTTATAAACTTCTTTTGAATAAGGATTGTCCCATTTAATTGTTTCAAACATAGTTATAGCAAATGAATAAATATCGGCTGGTGTTTTATAATGTTCTTTATTAAGAACTTCAGGAGCCATATAAACAGGAGTTCCAATACCTTTAGTGAATGTCATATTTGTCATTAACAAGTTAACATTTCTAGCACTTCCAAAATCAGTTAATTTAGCATTTATTTTAATATTAGTATCTAAGGAAAATACAAGAATATTATCAGGTTTAATATCACGATGTAATATACCATTTGAATGAAGATAATTTAATCCTTTAGCAGCATCCAATAATAGTTTAATCTTTTTCTTAAGTTTAATAGGATTCGTTTTTCTTTTTTTTAATTAAATCTTGTAATGAACCATATTCAGCAAATTCTGTTACCATACATATCTTTTTTGGAATAAATACTGCACCATAAAAATGAACAATATATTCATTTCTAAATTTATCTAACATATCTGTTTCTTTTTTAAATTCTTTCATTTCTCTATTCATATCAGATTCACTTATTTGTTTCATTTTCTTTATTGCTACTTTATTTCCTCTATATTTTCCTAAATAGACAATTCCAAATGATCCTTCTCCGAGTTTTTTATCTTCTTTTAATTCATCTGGATCTAATCTACTTGTTATTTCTGTTTCACATTTTACTTTAATTTCTGAATAATACTTAATTCCTCTTTTAATATCTAAACAAGAGATTACAATATATTCATCTATAACACAAGTACATAATGGTTTAATAAATATTTCAAATTCACACGCTTTTCCTTTTTTCAAAGAAACTAATTGTGGACTTGTTCTAATAGAAAATTTATTAGTATTTTCTTTAGTAGATAATTGAATTTTTAATAAATGACACTTTTCATTACCAATACAAATAATATCACGTGTTTCCATTCCTACTGGAATAAATGTTTCTTCATTATAGTCAAATTGAAAATCAAGTTTTGTTTTATTTACTATTAACCCACACTCTTTATTAATTACAACAAATTGTATATTTGATTTTGCTAATTCAAATTCACAAACTGCTATTTCTTGTTTTTTGTTTCTTTGTTATATAAAGTACAATACTTCCAATACAAATAATAATTATTAAAGTTATTATAATACAAATTATAATTGGTATTCCAATAACAATAAAATAATTTTGTTTTATTTCACAGGTCCCATCATTTAATAATTGATAGTTTTCTTCACAAGAACTACATTTACTTTCTTTTGCAGAAGTACAATGACTTATATTAGTATAATATAAACAATTTTTATATGTGTATGATTCACTTGTTAATACATAATTTTCTGGACATGAGTCACATTCAAAATTATTACTACAAGTGGCACATTGTAAAAGACAAGGTGAACAATATTGATTATTAATATAATAACCTGGCTCACACTCAGAGCATCCAGTACTTGTAATATTAATACAATGAGTTAATGATGAAATATGTTGACAATTTTTTTTATAATTATCATAGAAATAACTACCACTAACATTACATGTTGTACATGTTTTACTATTTAAAACACAAGTCGAACATGAAACATCACATTCATAACATTGTTTATTTTTATAGTAATATCCATCTTTACATACAGCACATCCTTGAGCATTTGGTAAGAATGTTTTACATTTTTTTACTTGCTCTCCAATGAAATTACAATGATAATTTGTATCTAAAGTATAACCAAAGTTACAAGTAATACATTGTGTTTTAGTACCATAACATGTATTACAATTATCATCACATTTAGAACATTCATTGTTCAAAAGGAAAAATCCATCACTACATCTTAAACATCCATTTTCATTTGATTGTTCACAGTTATCAGGTAATATCTTTCCACAAGTAAATTCACCATTATTATTTCTTGTAAGAATTTTATTTGATGAACATTTTAAACAATTAATATTATCACGAGAATAGATACAATCATTTATTGTTATTTTTTGACAATTTCTATTATTATCCAAATAATATTGTTTATTACAATCACTACAAAATGTTTTTTCTTTTTCTATTGAAGAACAATGTATTTCATCAAGAAGTTTACATTCTCCATTAATTAATCCATAATTTTCTTCACATAAATAACATATACTTCCATTATTTGATAAATAACATTTATTACAATGTGATTCACATTTAATACAATTATTATTTTTAAGATAATATCCATCATTACATTCAACACAATCATTACCAATTTGAGTTTTACAATTTATATTTGTTGTACAAATACCATTAATCATAATATTGTTTTGACTACAACCAAAAC